CTCAGCTGGAGTAGTTGATGAGGAATGAGCCGCGCTTGCTTTTATTCCCGGCATATTAGATTGTTTTTCTTTTTTCAACGGCTTTAGCAGAGCTCGGGAGAAGTTCCTAGTTCCTGTGATAGTCATAGCAACCTGATTCATGGAAAAAACAAAGAGGCAGGGAGGTGGGGGGGCAGTTGTGGAAAGAGGCATATGTGCATAAACTCATGATTAGTTCCGTGCTTTTGGGCAAAATCATCCAGAAACACATACTATTTTCCTCACGTACCATTCTTTACTACTGTAATAAACACATATGGATGTCATTGTCCATTCCTCCTGCCAATCTGTGCCTCGAATCATCTTTCCCAGAGTGATGCGTTCGAATTCATATTTTTCCCAATATTCCCCATGACAGGAACCTATATTTGCAGCACGACAGGCTGGAGGGTGTGCAGTCCGTGGTTAGAGAAGGGAGGAAAGATCACAGGTACCTTAAATGAGGGTAGGTAAAACCTCTATGGTAGAAAAAGGTTTACTATAAGAAACAAATGATCTCTTCCACTTACTTCGCCTACTGTTTACCACCAATGGCAGATCAGATCTCTGTCTTTGACCTTGCCCAGGGTCCCTGGGGATTGTGATCGCTTGGATTAATAGCTGGTGGAGATAAACGCAACTTTCTGCCAGTGAAACTTGAAGGCTTAAACATGAGCTCACCGGATAAAAATATTTCCCAGTAACACGGGGCTCTTCGAAGCAGTAGCCAGCCCCCAGCTCTCAGGCCATGCTTGGTAAGGCGCTGTTCCAGAGACCCAAGAATGGTAGTGCCGAAGGTACCATTGTGTGAGAACAGAAGCTCAAATGGAGACCAGTTCTGGTGGCTTCTGGTTTTTCTCACCTAATGGCTTCCTTGGCCTATCACAGCTGGCAGTGAGCCTTGCACAAGCGGATGACAGTAATAAAATGAGAACATGGGAGCGAGACTAGCTGCTCTTCATTTCACTCCAGAATCATGCCACAAGGCCCCAGGCACTGGGCTGCTTGATTTTGCCAACTTTCAAATCACTTCCCCAATCCAGAGCTCCAGCCTCTCCAGCGTGGGCAGGGCGGCATGGCGGGTGTGGACCAAATGGACTTTAACATGGGTGGGGTCCATGTCCAGAGGTTTGATATTACTCACTTAAATGATATTAAACTGGAAGTAGGGTTTGGAAAATTGGGAGGGGAGGCTGGGAAGGGAGAGAGAGCATAAGAATGCAGACTCCAGAAAATAGAGGCACAGCCCTGAATCCGTGCACTTGACTTCAAATAGGTTCTGTTTATAAAGAACATGCACTGATGCTTTATGTGCCCGAGTCACAGGCTCAGTCACTCAACAAATATTTACTGAGCACCAATTTAGGGTCGGGCTCTGTTCCAAGGACTAGAGAACAAGACAGATGGAATCTGGGGGGAAGTTTATATTCTAGTGAAGAGAGACAGATCACAAAAAAGTAAAGAAATAACGGGATCAAGTGATAGACTGGAGAAGGAGAAACTTGAGCTGACATCCGAGTGTCAGGAAGGAACCAATTGTGGGAAATGCTGGTAAAGACAACGCAGGAAGGGAGAAGGGTGAGTACAAAGAAAAAGCCAGGTGTAGGGCGCCTGGGTGGCTGTTTCTTTAAGCTTGTTAGCGTCTGACTTCAGCTCAGGTCACCATCTCACAGCTTGTGGGTTCGAGCCCCGGGTCGGGCTCTGTGCCGACAGCTCGGAGCCTGGAGCCTGCTTCGGTTTCTGTGTCTCCATTTCTCTCTGTTCCTCCCCCACGCATGTTCTCTCTCTCTCTCTCTCTCTCTCTCTCTCTCTTTCCCTCTCTCAAAAATAAACATTAAAAAAATTAAAGGAGTGCCTGGGTGACTCAGTCGGTTAAGCGTCCGACTTCGGCTCAGGTATGGTCTCACAGTCCGTGAGTTCAAGCCCTGCATCCGGCCCTGTGCTGACAGCTCAGAGCCTGCAGCCTGCTTTGGATTCTGTGTCTCCCTCTCTCTGCCAGTCCCTCGCTTGCACTCTGTCTCTCTCTGTCTCTCAAAAATAAATAAATGTTAAAAAATTGTTTTTTTTAAGAAAAAGCCAGGTGGTCTTGAGCAACAACAAAAAAAGGGCCAGTGGGCTGGGAATCTTTTCTCCTGAGACTTGGATTTGTTTTGTTTAAATTTTTTTAAATTGTGGTAAAGTATACATAAAAAGATTTAGCACTAACCTTTTTTTTTTTTAAGTTTATTGATTTATTTTGAGAGAGAGAGAATGAGAGCAAGTGGGGGAGGGGCAGAGAGAGAGGGTGAGAGACAGAGAATCCCAAGCAGTCTCCGCGAGTGAGCACAGAGATCATGAACCACGAGATCATGACCTGAACCAAAATCAAGAGTCTGAAGCTCAGACTGAGCGACCCAGGCGCCCCTAACCATTTTTACGTATACAATTCAGTGGCATTAAATACGTTCCGTCATTGTGTGGCCATTGTCATCATCCAGCTCCAGCATCCTCTCTCTCATCATTTCGAATGGAAACTGCCCATCGAACACTAACTCCCGTCCCCTGGTCCCCCAGCCCCTGGCAACCAATGTTCTAGTTTCTGTCTCTATGGATTTGACTTCTCTAGGTACCTCACATATGTGGAATTATATACATTTGCCTTTTGTGTCTGGCCTGTTTCACTTGGCATCACGTTCTCAGGATTCATCTATGTTGTAGCACGTGTCAGAACTTGCTTTTTAAGGCTGCATAATATTCCATTGTGTAGTTATGCCACATTTTGTCCACTCATGTGTTGATGGACACTTGGGCCGTTTCCACCTTTTGGCTATTGTGAATTATGCTATGAACACTGGTATTGAGACTCCTTTTTTTGTGAAGATTTTCCTTTT